ATAAAAAAACCAGAACACTGAATTTTGAATTAGTTACCGCTATTTCCATGATGATGTGGTTTAAACATAAAAATTTTAATACTTTACTTTGAAAAATCCCCCAAAATGTTTTCTAGGAGCATTGTTTTGAAAACTCCAGAAACAGACATTCTTGTTGCCACAGAATTGAGGAACTATAGGAAAATACACTTTCTTAGAACACTGATCTTTGCTATTCCTCGTAACACAAGAGAAGACAGTAAGTTACATACTGCTCAATGGATTACCTTCAACTTCTCCTCCAGAAGAAGCAATTTTTGAGAGACTTAAATACGTTGTTCCTACTACATCATTTTTTGTAAGACGATCCCTATAAAAAGAAAAAAAAGGAACATTTTCTTTAAATATAATGCTGGTCATCCTACACAGAAGCAAGCTACCAGTGACTAAATGCACTCCAAGATGGCGTACACACATTTTATATCACCTGGAATACCTTAATATTACTTACACAGATGGTAAAAGCTGGTTACAAAAGTGAGATGTATCATGAAGAAGTCACCTGACTTTTACACTATCACCGAAATAGCAATAGTGCTCAGTGCTCACCCACAAAATTAACAATACTCCGTGTTACACTAGTCAGGTCTCTTGTAGAGAAACCATAAAGGAAGACACTTAAACATTTGCTTAAATACTCTCATAGGCTATAAAAATACCTGACATCTATAGAACCAGACTTTTCTTCACTTAACATAATTTACCTTGTCTGGCACTTTGATTAAAAGTCATAACTCACCAGTCAACAACTGCAAGCTTTATTTTCTCACACATCGAGGGAAACTGGAAAAAAAAAAGCAATTAAAAAAAAATAACCCATTACTTATTTCACCTCTGTAATGTCAATGCCCTGAATTCCAAAAGGATGTCTGTCTTCTACAGAAACATGAAAAAAAACTGACCTTGATTTGAAGATAAATAATTTGATTCCACTCTGGATTAGCATTTTTCTCAATTATATTTGTGCAAACCTGAAAAAAATTAAATCAACTATACAGCACATCAAAGAGAAAACAGAGAAAAAAGCATATACTAGCTATGATTTAAGCTAAATCACATTCTGTTTGGTAAAATGAGGGGTAGTAGTTAATGTGGTTTATGCTGCAATGAGCCATTAGTCTTCAACTGGTAAATACTGCTAAATTGATCTGCATATGCAACATTAATGACTATTGTA